TTTTGGCATGAGTTCATTCAGTAGTATATATTTATAAATTCAAACTTAAAGATTTTAGTCTTGTCTTGTCTGTTATAAATAACGTGTTTGTATTTTTGTTTCCTTATACGTTATAATATTAAATTATCATGTTAATATCTATTTTTGATAACACACAGCGATTATCATACTTGTGTAACATTTGAGTTCAAATTTTAATAATATTTTTTTAAACTATATTTACTAATTGTTGATTAAAACGACAGTTTATTAAAAACAAATCTTTAAATGCAAAATTTGATTATTCAAATTAATAATATCACAGTAATTTACGTAAAACGACAAAGTTTTGATAAAAGATTCTTATTTAAAAATCTTAGCTTAATTTTCGAGGAGTACTTCCTTTATTGATTTTCAATATTACCAAATTCATCTTTTACTTCACCTTGGAACCTGTCAACCAGGGTGACTTTAGTTTTTTTTATGCTTCTGTTGTTGCCTATTCAATGCAGCGTGAATATTTTATGTCCACAAGTTGCATACGCACGGGACTGGATCGATGTGGCGAGCCAATAGCCAGACATAGTTCCCCCGGGTTATTGAGCTGCAATGTGCTCTCTATACTTCTATCTAAGTATCCTTTTTCTGTAAGACCTCTTCTTTGAAGATTAAAGATAGGCAACACATCTTCCTTTCAACTTCTAGAAGATGTTATGGGCAGCGATCGCCGCGTTAATTATCGATATAAGTGGCAGGATGCTTGGTCGCCGCCTATTCCTTATAAAAAAAAAACTGTCGCATTTGGATTAAATCAGTTGAAAAAATAATAGTCCAAGAGCTATAGCTATCCATAATCATTTTGTATTCGATAGTTCAGGGATATCTGAATTAGATTATTTTCTTACAAAATCCGCCACGACAGTAGCTGTAATAATCAGGTGGTTAGACGATTAAAACAAAAGCATGGCCAAACAATCTTGATAACTCATTAATAAGGCGATAACAACATTGTAGAGCCTTATCAGAGTTTCGAAACTGATACAAAATGAAAATTATAGCAATTACTTAAATAAATGATTGTATTTGTATTTAATTTAATTGTTAGAAATTTCTAACGCTAAAAATCCATAATTATGCACACGAGTCATTATGGAAAATTCCGCGTTCAATAAAAATATTTCCGGACTTGTTTAGCATTTTAAAAATATACGTTAGTGTCCCAGTTCTGTGTATGTTATAGCAGTTTTAATGGACTTTGCTTTTGAAACAATCTCAATTAACGCTGCCAGCGTGAATGTCCATTGTTAGAAATCTGCAAACAAAAACACTATATTTTTTGAACACTTTTTTTAGGTATCATGAATAGAAAGTGCTAGTAAAAATAGACCTAATTTTTTGCTGGTAGAGTTTCGTAGACTGATTCAATTGTTTGAACGGAATGTTTAGTAACAACTTGAATGAAGATTAACAATTATTAAGTACCTAAGTTAGGCAGCGACTTATATATAACTGGTCTTTAATAAGTTTTATCTGGTTATTACGGAGTTCTCATAATAATGATGAAATAGCATATAACAAAAGGTTACTGTACTTTATCACTAGATAGTGGAATGAAAGGATTTTGATCGATAGTATTTTACATTTGGCCTTATTGATAACATATATTAGTTAATATGTCTGAAGAATTACGCTTATTTATTTGCCCTTTCACGATTTCTTTTCGTTTGCCTTGGCCTAATTTTAGTCTTCTTTCTCCTCCTCTTCTTGATAAGAAAAGGGTAGGAATAGGAAGTGGATAGCCGGAGGGACATAGGAAAGGTTCCCTTTCTGTTTCTGTGCATCTCCTCCTTTGGTGATTAAAGGTAGGCAACGGATGTGCAATTGCACATGCTTATGGGCAGCGGTTGCTTCGCTGTTTGGACGAATCGAATACTTACGTTTCAAAATCGCTGAGAATTCTTAACATTTAAGTTATAAAAAACAATTATCTTTAGTACATTGTTAATAATCTAGACAATGTCTATAGGTCTACGACAAAAATACCTATACTTGAGTTGTAAGTTAGCACGTGTATTGGAGTTAAATACGAAACACTTAAATGTTGGAGTTGCTCCGAGTTTTCTTGAAGTAGACATGAGGGTTGGAATCCGTGTCAAGTTGACTACGTCGTCTCTACTCGGACATACAACATATTCCTACAGTTTGCTTTAGTATGTTATACAAGAAACAAAATCTCTGGGATATAATTATCTGTCTGAGTAACACGCATTTTTCGCTGCGTACCCAGGTGCACCTGTACGTAGATTATTCAAATCAATGCTTGAATTATCTCCAAATGATAATATGTATTGATATTTAATTCGGTTGCTAAGCCGACGAACGTAAGCAGTGATAAAACTGCGTTGATTGTGTTCCGATTTCTGAGAGCGTCAGTCTGGGAAGTCATTGCGTGTTTGCTAGTCGTGTGTACAAGGATACAAAGGCATGTTAGCTCCAGTAACGGGTACTTGGGTTCAGGTATGAGATTTTTTATATAATTATCGTCTCGGTGGCCACGAGCAATCGGCCAAATAGATTAGCTGAAGTAATTATGCGACCGCTGCCCATATACATCCCCAAAGGCATGCGTATTCGTTGCCTACCGTTAATCGCCAGAGGAGAGGAAGCACGGATTTTTTTTTACTTCTTAAGCGTCCCCTCCTCACCTTCCCATACTTTCCTTATAAGAAAAGGTTGGAAATGTAAAGAGGACTAAAATAGGCCTTAATCAACAGTCGGTGTGAACTGGAGCTGTGTCAACTCACGAGTACTCCAAGACACGTGCCTCAGATCTCACCTTGACCTCAGCATCTTTAATATTTTTATGTTCATCTTAAGTGTGCAGAGTTTTTATTTTTATAATAATACTAGCCGTCGTAAGCCACTTACTAGCCTATGTTTTCTTCCAGACTCTGTTCTACATATGCAAAATTTTGTTGAAATATTTTTTTTTTGCTACGAGAGCACATACTAACAAGTATAAAGTAAAGTATAATAAGAGAAAAAACGATTTCACCCACCTTTGTAAATATTATAAATAAATAAAAACATTTCTTAATGTATAATGACAAATGTTAGTCAATGTAGAACATGAGCTCCAGACGTAGTTAGCCAACAAGGCGGCATTGTTTGTCGGTTAAGGCCCTCAGCCACTCTCGCAATTATCTTATCTTTGTCTTCTAACATTAGCTTGCAAAATAAGGAATTAAACAGCTATTTATATGTTATATTTACAACGTGCCTTATTACTTAAAATGTTATACGACTTTTTATTACTTTGTTTTGTATTTGTCAAGTAGTCTTGTAACTTCTTTCTAATATTATAAATGCGAATGTTTGGATTTGTTAGAAGGTATCTACAGAACAGATGCGTCGCTAAAGCTGAAATATAGCGTAGATGTTGAATATAGTCTGAAAGAACACAGGCTACTTATTAAATTTATTTTTAATACCGCGCGGACAGAGTTGTGGGCGACAGCTAGTATATAAAAATGTAAATGTATATAAAAATCATCGCCTTTTTTAATTTGATGTTAAGGTTCTTTATTTAACCTTAGTTACCAGGTCGTGGCTAAATCAGCCAGCAAATCTAACCATGGTATGGGAGACACTTGCAAAGTCGGCATAGATGGGTAAAGGCAATTAATTTATAGATAAATATAATACTTATTTACTGGTCTAATTGTAATAAAACATATTCGAAGTCAATTGTTATCTAATATGAACAAACATAATTAGTGACACGCTTCATTGGAGACGGAATATGAAGGCTTAACTATAGAATAAGACTATGGCTTCTAGCGGAACTGCTCGTAAGGTTTCTATTGATTTGTGTTATTATTTGTTGACTAGCTGTTCGTGACTTCGTTCGAGTAGAAACGACCACGATTTTTATATGATTTTACGAAGAAGTGTTGAGACAGTGACGTCATGCCTTTGTACTTACATTGTGGTGAATAACAATAAATATTATAAATCTGATTAGTTTTTTACTGTTAGTATATAATAAAAAAAAGCTGACGATATTTATAATGTTCTATGTTGTTCTGTATTTATGCCCTTGGTCATTATGGAAGCTATAACTGTACCGCAGTATTTCTCAACTGAAATCTAAAATTATAGTTATTATGCGTGCAGTTTAAAATGAAACCTTATTAAGTATTGGCTAATAAATTGCCTAAGTCATTTCGAGATGGTAGTCTAAAATAACCCGATATGCAGCGACCGACAAGCCGGCTGTTGCAAAACTTTCAAATCGGAAATAAAAGCAAGAGTTTGGCTTACAATATTATATAAGCACACCCACGAACACATCGCCCACAATTAAATCGCTCGTTAAATTTGATAATACCATGAATAAGTTGAAAGTTAACGAAATATTTCCTAAAGGTTATCGCTTTTGTAACTGTTCGTTTGCAGCTTAAGCTATAAAAATGTTGAAATACAGATTTAGAGATCTAACAGCATTATGAGATTTAAAAAAAAGTTGTTATACCTATATAAATAAAATCCGGTTCAAATGACTTTTTGGTTTTGTTGTCAGAATATTTTACTGCAAAAAACTGGCGTAACTAAGCTCTAACAGACTATTTTTAAATTATCTAACTAGAGTTAAGTAGTACAAAAAAGCTTAACATTTTGCTAGATAGACTTCAGATTAATATTCCTTTATGCACGTTCTTCAAACTTGTAGTAGTCTGGGACATGTAAAGCGAAATCAGAACCCTGATTTTCCCTCATCATAGATTTGATACCACGTAGTTCTGTGTGTTCGCACCGAACAGCAGCAAGCAGTTCGCAACGAACTAAATCCATTCCAGCCTCACATCACTTCACTTCACTTCTGCTACAGGCGTCGGATTTCTATGGGTGTCTGACAAAAAACTGTTCGCGGTTACTGAAGACGATTGCGTTCCATATAAGTTCTATGATATTGCCTAATTGACTTAGTATTTTGAGTTTAATAACTAACTTTGTTTAAGCAGGGATTGGTGTCGCAAGATGGTCAGTGCGCGATGACGCCGGGCATAAAGATGGAGTCAAAGAGCACGCAGATCCACCTGCCGCTGATCGGGCGTGGCAGCCGCGGTGATCTCAACGAAAAGGTCACTTTCTCACAACTCAAGTCGCCAGAACAGCTCAATAATGGACAACTCACAGGGTAAGAAAACTTACTAATCGTACGAGGGTTATGAAGCACACATCAGTAACCAAAGAGTTAGTGATATTTCAGCTTCAATTATTAATATAATGTTGATTAGAGTAGAGAAAGAGAGTTTTCAATTACATAAACCATTTAATAAATGAGTATCGGACAACATATATAGTCTTATAAAACTTTCAAGTTAAATTCTGTCCCGCACTTTTAACTTTGAGACGTTTCATTTCAACAGTTGCGAACAAAATGTACAATTATTTTAATTGCATTGAATTAAAAAAGCCATTTAGATTAGTAAATATTTTGTTACGTTATGAATATTGCTGGCATTTACTGTAGCGTTAGTTTTCACACCAAAGAATTCAATAGCACGTAATTTGCGAGCCCTCAACTTCTGAATGACGAAAGATTTTCCCTTCTGCACAATGGAGGGAACAAAGTACAGTAAAAGCCTTTTCCCATGGCAAGTTTTTTTTTATTTTTTAACTTGATTATTAACATGGATATATTGAGTTACATATGCCTATTTTAAATATAATTACGTAAATGAATAGTAGAAAAAACAGAAATAGAATTTTGAATTTTTTTAAACTGCATTTTTAAATAAATTATCAACGTAATAAGTTCAGGAAAAGCGGATAGAGATGTAACCAAAAGATTTATTGTAATTTCAAACTTGTGATTCAAATGAAAAATTCAAATCAACGAATAATCCGTTATCAATGGACATTTAAATCCGGTGGAATTACGTCATCCTGCCGTTATTCCGGTCAAATAACTATGTACGTATGTATGTATATACAACACGTTTGACCGTTTTAGGTAACATTTACATATTTAAAATCGACTACTACGACGACCGTGAGTTGCCGAGACCAAAATCCATGTTTAAAACATATTGTTATCTCTGTATTGTCAAAGATGATGGGATGACGATTTTATACAGGGATTATGGTCTCATAAACCGACGGTAAAACTTTCTTATCTTAATTTCAGTGATAAAATTAAAAATACATATAAAGAATATTTGATTTTAAAATAATTTCACGTAAATGAAAGTGATTACAGAAATGTACCAAAACAATATAGAGACAATAGACGCTTTTTTTAGAAGAAATTTGCTCATAGTAATTAACTTAATTATACCTTATGTCAAAGTTTCCTTTATTCAAATTGTAAAAGTACAAAGTTATCGTATTAAATATTGTCATTGTACAAATGTGACACGCGGGTATTGTAAATTAAAGAACTTTTAAACTTAATTAAGCTTTACATTAGCAGTTGCAGGGGACTTCCTCCGCGGGAAATAAAAAAATAAATTTTGAAAAAAAAAATTTAGTAAAAGTATAGCCTTTGTCACATGGTGTTAGTGCAGCTTCCCATCAGCGAAAGAATTTTACAAATCTGACTTCTAAGCCTTTTTTACCTTTATTTTAAGGCTTCAATGCATTCGTAATGAAGTAAGAAAAAGGTTCTTAATTTTGTTAAATGATTATGCTAATATTAAAGGGCGTTTTAATAATTATTGAATTGAATTTTCTCTATGCCATGGTTACTCTATTATTTAGATAGTCTGTAGACTGAAATAGATACAGTCCTTGAGCTAGATGTCTCGCCCTTGTTTCAAAGGACTTAAGTAAATGTAATCTGCCACGCGACTTACACTGCTCGTTTTGTACATTTATTACGTAGTTATGTCCATATTTGCTTGTGCAAACTGAAGAGAAAAGGCTTGTAAAATTGTCGTGAACTCTGGGTTAGGATTGTCTTTTGTTAATAAAATTATTTTATTGCTACAATCAGGTATATATTTTTTACTTTACTTATGATAGATGCCAAAAGTGGCCAGCAACAACTTAGTTTGCTCAAATTGGCTGCTTCACCCGGTGGAATACCACGATCACATAGAAGACCGGCGTCAAGTGGAAGCAAATCCGCGTACAGCGTGACGACTGGGCGTCCGGAGGGCCTAATTTTAGTCCATTATAGCTTTCTACCCTTTTCTTATAAGGAAAGGTTTCCTTCCATTGTATAATTTCGATCCTTTAAGTATTGGGACCAACTTATTGTTATCATTTTTAAATGTTGTTTTTCGGTCTCACTGACGTCAGTGAAAACAACATAAGTTATTCATTGTATTTTTAGTCTACTACGCGCAAAAAACTTGAATATTTGAAGAAACATTGGACTTTGACCTTTTTTGACTTTGAATAAAACATCATTATTAATACGAGTATCATACATTTTGTAAATTGCAGCTGTGTATTTCCACTATCCATACACTTATAGAGGTTTCTCGCTAAACCAGTTCTCTTTTATCAAGATTCTGCCTTTATCGTCATCGCTTTTATTCTCTTTAGAAAATTAGAGAGCAATACGTTTTCATACAGGTGTAACAACAGTGTGAACCCACGGTTTTATGTTATTGAGGAATTTCTTGTTACATACTTCATATGCATAAGTTTTCATGTTGAAGAAACATAAAACGAGTAAAGTAACCAAGGGATATTTATATTTTGCAATGGTTCTAAATAGCAACGAAATTTGAGCCGGAAAGTAATTGTCGTAAAACGACGGATACGTCACTGCATACACTTCGTATCGATTATTTGATGTCCTAAATAACTAGGTTTTGATAAGGAAACAATTCATCCATTGTTTAATATCATTTGCAAAACCTTTGTCAACTGCTCGTTCCACGATCTATTGGTACACATATAAAACTAATTATTTTTTATCTAAGTTATTAATCTTAGTATTTAAAGGTGTAAATTAATATTAAATCAGAATTAAACTTGTGTGAACATCTTGCGCTCTGTCAGTACTTATGCTCTCACCTTTTGGAATTTGACCTCCGGTTAACAGTACCCGGCTATTGAATTGGCACGTCACACAGAGGAGTATGTTTAGTCCTCACTTGCCAAATCAAATGTTGGATTTCTTTTACATAGCAAAACTTTCTATTCGATAGCGCTGTTGCATTAATAAATAGACATAAAATTGCGGCCATTATAGAATATTCTGATCAAATCCTAGTGTCTTCAAGTTACTAGGAAGCTAGGTTTGAGTTTAACTGGTGATTCCTGTAAATGCAGCATTTTTGGCAGCAATCCAAACTCTTGTATTTAAAGTGAATTGATCGCTGTGACACTGGTCTTGTTGATACTAACTGTAGCTTTATTAATGAACACGACAATTTTATATAATGTACTGAGGTTTTGATAAAAATCTCTATCAAAGCGCGCTCCATCTCTATTGAATATAAAACAAATGTTAGAGCTTTAATTCTTGAGACGGCTTAATAAAGCGCACCCTTGGAAACGCCTACTGTTGCCGCAGCAAAACTCAATATTAAAAATAACTGACTGTACTATTGACCACTTAACGTTTCTTTAAATCGCTTTTTCAATGTTTTCAGTGGCTCACAAATGAATTTATGCAACGGTGGCGCGGGCACCGCAGCGATGACGGGGCTCGTGCCCAAGGTGCACAACGATTGCGGCGACCAGAAGAAGCCCATGGCCTCCCTCACACATCTGCCCAAGCGACCACCTGTCGACATCGAGTTCTCGGAGTTATCGTACTCAGTAAGCGAGGGCAGGAAGCGCGGCTACAAGGCGCTGCTAAAAGGCATTAATGGCACATTCCGTTCCGGCGAGCTCACTGCCATCATGGGACCTTCTGGCGCCGGGAAGAGCACCCTCATGAATATATTGGCGGGATACAAGTAAGTAGTTTACAATATTAAACACTGAGACGCGCTACGAGCGCAATCGAAGTACGCTTTACTTCGGGCATGCTCTCGACTTAGATGTTTTTTTTTCAGAAAGAAGGTTTAACTTCACAATTGTTTTAAGTAGTGTTAATTGGTAACATCTTGATTGTAGCCATCTCCTGTAGTAACGGTAGTTATTTTTTGATGTAGTTTATGCATTTTTAGCTCTGCAACGCATCAGTTAATTTTGTTTACGTTTTATTTTTATCTGTGATTCATTTCACACTCACGAACTGTTTACGTTTTTTTAAAACGCGTTCGCTGTGCAATGTTAACAATTTAGAAATGTTTGAGATCTGGATCGCGGCCAGAAACGCGCCTAGTTCAAAACATGTGAATTTATAGAGCTGTTTTCACTGCGTACATTGTACAGAGTTTTAAATGGATCTCTGTAAAGTAGCGACTCCATGTATGTGACCTAAGTGCAGAAATATAATATAAGATGCATCTATTTTATCCAAACAATGTACTTTATTGGCCTCCTTCTAACAAAGTGTTAGGAACTTTTGGAATGTTAACAGGTTTTATATGTTTACTACTACTTTTGCAAGTGTGTTTAATTAGTTGTATTTTTATTTTCCAGATCTTCGTATGTAACGGGGTCCATTCTCATAAACGGCAAAGAGAGGAATCTGCGGCGGTTTCGGAAGCTCTCCTGCTACATAATGCAGGACGACTGCCTCCTGCCGCACCTCACCATCCGGGAAGCGATGTACGTGTCGGCCAACCTCAAGCTAGGCAAAGACATGACCGCTGCAGCCAAGAAGATAGTCATCGACGAGATCCTAGAGATGCTCAGTCTCGTGGAAGCGGCGGATACGCGCACGATAAACTTGTCGGGCGGACAAAAGAAGCGGCTGTCGATAGCTTTAGAGTTGGTCAACAATCCACCGGTGATGTTCTTCGACGAACCGACGTCAGGGTTGGATAGCTCATCTTGCTTCCAGTGCATATCTCTGCTGAAGTCGCTGGCGCGCGGCGGCCGCACCATCATCTGCACCATCCACCAGCCCTCCGCCAGGCTATTCGAGATGTTCGATTTCCTGTACACGCTGGCGGAGGGTCAGTGCATCTATCAGGGCCGGGTCAGCGGCCTCGTGCCCTTCTTATCGTCCATGAGCCTACATTGCCCCAGCTATCATAATCCTGCGGATTACGGTATGTCAACAACCTATTAAATAATACCTATTGTTGTGTTTATCTCTTACCCGCATGACTCCGTCTGCGCAATATTTAAAATAAATCTTACTAAGTGGTCTATATGTTCTTCCAGACTGTGTTCTACATCTGTGCCAAATTTCAATGACATCTGTTGATCCGTTCTGGGGATACTTTTATAACAATCATCGATACATTCGAATTTACAATCATTGTATTAATTGTACAGTGATGGAGGTGGCGACGGGTGAGCACGGCGACTGGGTACACAAGCTGGTGATGGCGGTGAACAAAGGTGGTTGCGGGCGAGGGAACAACTCCTCTTCCTCCTCCTCCTCCGCCTGTTCCGCCCCCGCGGCTGCCGGCCCCGCCCTCGCGCCCGCCCCCGCCCCCACCGGCCCCGCCCCCGCGAACAACTGCAACTACAACAACCTCAAGACCAATGTCAATAACAAGGATGCCTTACAAATTGTCGTAGGTAAGTTCAATCACACCTTATTTACAAATGTCGGCATCCTACGTCGTCTATGTGTTCCTCCAGGCTATGTTTTATATCTATGTCTTTAAATGAAATACCTTAAGTCGTTTTGGAGATAGTAGTAACAAACCTCCATCCATCCAAAACTTAAATAGAATGGACCTATTAGCCTAGCGTTGTTTAAGTTCCTACATTTATGTTTGAAATTTGTCAATTTCCACAGACAAACCCACGTGCACTGTGATAGACCTGTCGGAGCCGCCTCTGAACACGGAGAAGCCGGCGGCGGGCAACCTGGCGCCCGTCACCTGCACCACCTCGCTGCTCGACTCCAGCGAGAGTTTCACCAAGAAGCCGGTGAAGGCGGGCTTCCCCACCTCCGGCTGGAAGCAGTTTTGGATCCTGCTCAAGAGGACCTTCCGCAGCATCCTGCGGGACCAGATGCTGACGCACCTGCGCCTCTGCAGCCACACCGTCGTCGGCCTCCTCATCGGCTTCCTCTACTACGACATAGGACACGACGCCGCCAAAGTGATGAGCAACGCCGGTTGTATATTTTTCACCGTCATGTTCACCATGTTCACCGCTATGATGCCTACTATACTTACATGTAAGTTTATTATCTTTAAAAAAATATTTATGTCTGTATCGTTTACCTTAAAACACACTAAGCGCTTTAGAATGTTTGCTTTATATTTTAGTAGACTGTAGATAATTTTAGGCGGAGATAGTCTCCATTACCTCAAATCTATTAACAATTGTGCACGTTTATGTAAAAAATAATGAAAAAGTAATAACTGGTTGTTTGTGTTTCAGTCCCGACAGAGATGAGCGTGTTTGTGCGAGAGCATTTGAATTATTGGTATTCCCTGAAGGCGTTCTACTTCGCAAAGACAATGGCGGACTTGCCTTTCCAGGTTAGTTTCAATCACCAATTTTAAGTTAAAGTATTATTCCTTTGCCAAGTAGTGGTATCGACAGGATGCTTCACAAATACTTATAATAATCGTTGTAGTGCCAATATAAACAAAAACCGTAATAAATATTTATAACAAAGGAGTTTATGTATGGAAGTAAAAAGCAAAAGGCGACGTTTGGTACATTAAACGATGTTTATTTCCGTGTGGTTTTCAGATAGTATTCAGCGGCGTGTACGTGATAATAGTGTACTTCATGACGGGGCAGCCGATGCAGACTGACCGCGTGCTGATGTTCACCGCCATCAATATCCTGACGGCGCTGGTGGCGCAGTCGCTGGGCCTGCTCATCGGCGCCGCCATGAAGATCGAGACCGGAGTCTACCTCGGCCCGGTCACCACCATACCTGTGGTCCTCTTCTCCGGATTCTTCGTCAACTTCAACGCCATACCTAGTTACCTGCAATGGCTGACGTACCTCAGTTACGTGCGGTACGGTTTCGAAGGCGCGATGCTGTCGGTGTACGGGTTCGGGCGAGAGAAGCTGCACTGCTCCGAGGCGTACTGCCACTTCCGCAACCCTGACATGTTCCTCAACGAGATGACGATGGACAAGGCGAACTTCTGGGTGGACGTCGCCGCTCTCAGCGCGTTCTTCGTTTTCATTAGAGTAATCTCTTATTTAGTTTTAAGGTTCAAGTTGAAGATGATGCAGTAGCTTGTTTAGCACAAAGCGGCGCGGCGCGGCGCGGCTTCTTTATATATCCACGGTTGGAAATCACGTCGTATGGTACAGTTACTGTAAGTTACTGTGTGGTGTCAGGTGTACTGTACGCAGTTACTATGTGGTGGTGTCCGGTCGTACCTACCGTGATGTGATCGTGTTGTGGTTGCTTTGCGTAACTGCACTGAGTTGGAAGCTTGGACGTGTGGTTGCTATATTTTCATATAGCTTTCCCTTTAATGATGCAACTATAGAAATGCGAGACATGTTTTTTTATATTTTTAATAGTGATAATTTTATCAAAACCAAAGATTACACGCGGTGTTGGAAAAAAAAGTAATTTAACGTCTTTGGGACTCTAAAACGATATATTTGACATTTGAATTAAGTTATAGATAACTAAATTTTTCTAAAATAGACAGCTTTATTTTATATGGTCAAAATGTAATGTGATATTTTTTTTCAATGATGCGGGTAGTTCGAAGTTTGTTGCTAAAACAATTTTCCATATATCAAATAAAAAACTGCCATGTGTCACTGATAAATGTTAATCGAGTGCGTCATGTTGTAATCCGAGTGGTATTTAGACGAGATTGCATATCATACAGTTAAATTCAAATTATGTTTTTAAAGTACCTTCAATTGACAGGGTGTTGGAACTTTAGTGTGGATGGTTGTATGTCTGAAAGTGGAACCAAATTGATGACTTGTATGTATTTATGGCTGTGAAATCTCATAAAAAGGTGATGCACTTAAAAAGATTAAGCCTAACACGGGGTAGTGAATCAATGTTTGTATTTATTTTGATTTAAACTTATAAATAATGTTTTGTTATCGGTACCAATTTAACAGTATTAAAGAAATTGTTTTAGCAAAACACTTCACATTCCTATCGTTTATAATGTTGCCCTGATAATTTTTTTGTTAAATAATAATGATTGCCAGGATGAAGGTACAATTCCCTACCTCCTGGTTACCATAGGAATCCGCTGCCGTGACTCTTGCAAAATATTGTCATCCCTTACCTTCCGATTGAAAAAACAGAGACCGCACTATTTAATTCAAGTGTTACGGCAGTCGAAACCCACAGTATTATAGTCAAACAAGGATATCTCGGCCGGTGAGAGTTGTTATAGCGCTTAGTTCTGTCAGAACATATTTATATCGATATGGACATAGAAAAGGGCAAAAAGAACAAACTTTAATGACAGCTACAGTATAAAAAGGATCTTGCGACAATTTTAGCATTGGCAGGAGGGCGCTAGTGAGCTATTTTAGTTTGACTTATGGCCACCGGGTTAGATATCCTTGTCCGTCTATAAAATCGAATGTAATGTGGTACATTTGTATGTTTCAGGATACGAGGTAATTAGTTAAATGTAGAACTTTAGTTTTCGAAATATCTAGCTTGATAGTACGCAATAGTTTGTTTATACGTAAACTTATAGGTTAGTTGATAAGGTTTTATAGAAGATCGGGCCCATGACTTAACTTTAAGTTACTTAAATCGTAATTAAATGATATTATTTTATTTGTATTTATGAGCTCACGACGTGGACGTTTCTACTTATGCCATTGTCAAAATGACAGCTGTCAGAATGACGTCAACGTGTCATTGAAATTAAATGTAACAGATACTCGTTGTTTTGACAATTGGTAAAATTTACTCAATTCATCATTACATTCTAGATATTAATTAGATTCTTGAATACCTTACATTACGCTAAAGATTTTTTGGTAAATCTCTATGTCTATCCTAATTACCAGTATTTATTAATTATTAATAAACGACTGTGATTTTTATAGCGGCGCTGTTTGTTTTTTATTCCATCTCCTGAAGTACTGGGGTTAATACCCAAAGAATGCACGTAAAAAAAAATAACGACGACGTCCTTCAAGAAGCGAGTGTACCTTATTTTCAAAGACCAGCAACGCATTTGCAGTTACTGTAAAAATATTATCAAAAATCAAATCTTATTCAAAGTTTCGTGAGACATTATACTAATCGAACCATCGGGGACCACCAATACCAGTACCACTCATCCTGATGAAAGGCCCCCGATGGGCTCGAAACTAGTCGGTGCCGCCACCGGAAGAATATACGTGAGTGTTAAGCCGTGTTTATATATCAGTTTAAAATCAAATCTATACTAATTAATACTCCACACTACTAATAAATCGTGATAAAGCAGGTTAAAATTACCATACGAAAGCTATAACAACGTGTGTAGGCAGTCTTTAATGTCGTAAAATGATTTAATTATAGCGCCATCTATCCGAGAACAAAGTTGCCTTTTATAAGCTTCATCCTTCATCGAATCATTCATATTCAGAATCATTGTTAATTGGAAAGAAAAGAAAATAGTTTAAGCGCCATCTGTATTTTCTTACAGTTGTAAATATGTCTTTTTAATATTTCTGCCTGTGTCCGATAGATGGCACTTTTACTATAGTCAAAGTTAGTCAACGCACGTAACCTTTTTAAAACATCGAACATCTCGCAACCCGATACCCGCAAAAAATTCTTATGTTACAATGCACATAGAGATCGGGAAGAAGTTGATAAACATAACATTGTAGTGGACAGTGAGTGTACAAAACTTTCAACTATAATAAAGTCAGACGGAGAAATGATAAATTGTGCAGGAACCGGTACACGGGCTTTTATTACGCTGTTGAGATAAAAGCTCCCAGAGGGCGCGCTGGGACGCGCTTTACGGCGAATAAACTACGCCCGAAGAGCGATAAACTACAGGACTACTGGATGTCTTCCAGGATCGATCAGGAATGTTGCTGAATTTGGCAGTTTTACGCTTCGCAAGCTTCTATATTGAATACTTACTCACTTCTGTTTATTTCATTATTTCGTGAACTTATTTGTTTATTATTATTAACCAATTTTAACTGAAAAGAAATAACCTTCTCCTTTGTGAAGTTGGTTAAAAAAACAATTAAAAAGTCGTAATAATTTCATAAAATCAATTCAGTTTTCAAGTGAATAACTCTTGATATCGACATTACTTTGATTTTCCGTGAAAATTATTATTTACTTATGAAAAATAATAAATACCCTCGAATTGCGCAACTTTGTTATTTACCTTGTTATTTTTATTAAGCTCCGGCAGCTCTGCCCGGCTCCGGAGAATTCCTTTCATCTTATTAACACTTACTTTCTATTAAAAGGTTTCTCATTGTGTTAAATGTTTAAACAAAAACAACAGCTTTCTGTTGTCTCCATAAATAGCGAGATTATTCTAAGATTAAGGTGGATTCTTCTTTGGTAAACATTGTAAAGTCTTCGATATTTAATTTATTTCATACAATAGCAAATGTGTTTGTCAAATATTTGTATATAAAGTGTTAGCAATCGGTTCTACATCTGCCCATAGAACAGCGCAACAATCAAGCAAGTTGCAGACTTCTATTATAAGACATCTTCTATCCATTCTCCCTGTTGTCGCATCTTCTTCGGGAGGTCTCAGTTTAGGTACCTCATTATGGAGGAAACATGAAACACATTTATTCTATTCATGTCAGGTTGTGACTTCTTATATATGACTTCTTTGACATTTGAAGGTGACCTCAAATGAATGCTCACAGTGGAACTGGGGCTTAAGTAATCGACAAACTACATGAAGGAGGCAGTCGCTACGCATACTAATCCCGACCTCAAACGATACCAATCTCATCGCAACAGTATTAAAACGCTCGTGGCCATGTTCTCTTCGCGGGATCAACCTCAAATACTAAACAATTTCATTTAAGTTTAATTGATTTTAAATGAAGTCTTTGTTATCTATTTATTATGATAAGTGACTGCATCGTATTACAAAACTGTGTGTTTCCATTTCCAAAATATTTGCAAAAACATACATTTGTGTATTTTCACTAAATATGGGAAGGATTATACAATGTATGCAAAAACATGATTTGTACAGGTTTTCTGTCAATAGAAATCCTCTGTAAGCTATTAATATTTTATTAAGGGATTCAGATGACTATAATTCCTGCTCCTATATAAGTTAATGGGACGTATTATGAGTACATAGAGGTAAAAATATATAAAGTATTATACAAATTATATAAGTTATATATTTTTTTTGTTTGATTTATAAAGATGTATTATAAAACCTTATTTACTTCATTCAAGTTCTCATTGTGTTAGTAAATAAGGGTTCTTAAAAAGTTTTCTAACAAAAAACGCGAACGTCTTATTGAGTAAAGTTGGTGAAAGCCTATTAAGGCCTCTATTAAAAGTTATGCTAGGAGAAGATTTCAGGCCGAGCGGGGTGCCGTCTGAAAACTTTAAATATAAACTGATGGAGTGTTTTATCGCTTTCTAAATAACTATTTATGTAATTTAGCATGTATCTTCTAAGATTTACTACTGTACTAGCTGTTGCCAACGAGTCCTTTCGCGCGGAATTGAAAAAAAATAAGCCTATATGTTTTTCCAAACTTTTTTCTACATCTATGCCAAATTTCAACGAAAGCCGTTCAGCCGTTCCGAAGATACCTTCAAACAAACATCCATCCATCCATCAATCTAACGATTCGCAATTATAATATTAGTAAGATTTGGGCCTATCACATGATCGGTTCATTCGCTTTCGTAGTCTTATTAATTTCGATGGAAACTTATCGTTTTGTAGATATTAAATGATCCTTTGATAGTGGAAGTGGGGTAAATTATAACAGTTTGCACGGCCTTGTATCCTCCAAAAATAGTCCAACTTACGACGGTGTTGGAGGTTCATAAATCCCATTATATTGGTAACAAAGCGACCCTAACAAAGCAATTTAATTACCACACAGAAACTAGTATTGCCTTCTCTTACGGCAAGAGGCAATTTACACCCGAGGTAATTTGATAATTGTTGAAATTGTTTAATTAATTTGGGGGCCTACCGGGCCAGGCCTACAGGAGAAGTTTCCAGTAAAATACAAATATTTAACTACGAGTATTGTAAATAGAAACATAACCGCTAGTTTGGTTATATTTATAGATATAGTAAATAAACTCAGTTTCACTTCGGGCATGAAGTTTTCGTAATTTTGGACAAACATAAGTAACTTACCATGTAGTTAGGTTCCATCCTCAGTTGTTAGATTATAAATAAAGTATACAATTTTAGACACACTGGAAGTGACACAAAAAAGATATCTAAATGACAAGGTAATATATTGATTCTCTATGATGCTAAGATCCCGTATAAGAATGTAACCTAAACTGATGTAAGATGAAATACATTTTTGTTTATCTCAGAGAAATAAACCTTGAGATTTCGTATCTCGTACATTATCTCAGCAATAAAAAGTTTTATGCTTAGCGTTAAGTCACAACATCGTAATAAAAAGCGCTGCCGAGGACGATAAGAGCCTTGGAGCTATCTTATAAAGTAGCTTGTATATCATTGATAAAACTGCATGTTAGTGAAACATTCACATTGAAGAAACAAAGACAATAACATGTTTAAAGACTAGTTTGACAACACTGGAATTTTACATGAGCATTGGTAAACTAAAGTTGTTTTAAGTGTTCATTGTTTTAATTCTTAGAGTATATGATCTAAATTATAGATAATGGATATTCGTTGTGTTTATTGTTTTGATTTGATTGATGCCTAATCCCTGCTTCCCTATCTTCTTTTGGTAATGAGTTCGGCTCCATGCTGTCAGCGATACAAAAGGACTTAAGCGAAGTGAGAGTTGTACATTTTAACATAATGTTGAATTCAGTCATTTTGTAGCTTCAAAATATTTTACCAGGTTGTTGTTTATAATATAAACAGTCACGTTATCAAATAAAATCTTTGTAAAAACAAGAAACTTCAAATTCGTTTTTTTGTTTTGTAGAAAAGGAAGGTTTCCTTTTATTTATGTTTTTTTCTTTGAAATTTTTTTGTATAACGAAACTCTAAATAGATTATAAATATATAATAGATAATAAATAAAGCCGATTGAACATTTTAGATTTATTAAATAAAATGATAAAGAAGATTTTATTTTCCGTCCTTTCCCATTGCCGCAAATATTTGTATTTATTAAGAAAAACCGCGAACGGAAGCTTCATCTATGTTATATAAGAAAAATGAACCAACGAAATGTTTATTAATTAAAGGAATTTCTCACAGTAGTAACCGATCTGTCTCTGTGCACAGATATGTCATAACCAATACACGTGTTATTGCAACTATTTCACTGATATAAAGTTTGAGCCATTTTAATTTTGCTTAATTTTTTTTAATATAACAGATATTGAAGAGCTTATATCGACATTTTTAAGAAGTTTACATCAATATTTTTAATTAACGATAATTTGAAATGGATATTCTTAAATTTAATTTGAAAAAAAAAAATACTTTTAATAATATTTCCACTAAAGAGAGCCTAAGAAATTTCAGTGTAGAGAAATCGAGGTCTGTAAATTCAGAGAGCAAATGGGCTGTAAATCCGGTTTAACCGTGCACTCAGTTACTCCAGACTACGGCGTAACTGCTTTTACAAATTTAATAATAACAGGGAAATGACGGACAATAATCCTTTATATACATGTAGAAATGTTCTATTTAATATTCTAAATTAAACCTTTTTAGGATTAGGATAATAAATAATGTGAGAGTGTACGCGTACAAAAATTTTGTGTCAATTATTTTCTGGTCCAAAAATTTTGTTCTATTAATATCTAATTTAAAAATCTAGAAAGTTAAAAGGTTTGTAAATCGGAAATGAAACAAAGCAACTTGTATTTTAACTGTGACATTCCACTGAAGTTTTGTAAAAAGACATTGTATTTCTGGTTT